CATCAATAAACACATAGAATTAGACCCTATATATACATCACTGCGAAGGAAAACCGGAAATGAGGTAAGCAACTCCAGTGGACCCCAGAGTTTAAATAACAGGCGGGAAAACACAACAGTGCTTCATCGGAGGCTGCGCTGATGATGTTACCCAGCAGGGTAATGAACATCTGCAAACTAATGAACCAGCTCAGTGAGTGAACCAACCACATCATCAGAATGGTGTGTTGCCTCCCTGGTGCCAATGTCAGGATGTCTTGGAGAGGGTACAAAATATTCTCAAAGGGCAGCATGACCAGCAGGAGGTTATCGTACATGTTGGTACCAACGACATAGGAAGACAAAAGGACGAGGTTCTGATGAGACAATATTGGAAATTAGATAGGAGGTTAAAAAGTAGGCCCTTGAGGGTAGTAATATCTGGATTACTCCCGGTGCCATGTACTTGTAAGAGTAGGAATAGGAGGATAGAGCAGATGAATGCATGGTTGAGGAACTGGTGCAGGGGTCAGGGATTTGCATTTTTGGATCATTAGAATCTGTTCTGGGGTAGAAGTGACCTGTATGAGAAGGATAGTTTGCACCTGAATTGGAAGGGGACCAATATCTTGCCGGGGAGATTTTCTAGTCTACTTGGGAAGCTTGAAACTAGTAAAGCGGTGGGGGATTCTACCCAAAGGGATAGTGAGAAAAGAGATCAGTCTGAACTGGTACAGTTGAGAAGAGAAGCAAGTCAAATAGTCAAGGCATGCAAGACCAAGGCAGAGAACATGGTAAGACTGATGGACTAAATTGCATTTATTTCAATGCAAGAGGCCTGACAGGTAGAGCAAATTAACTCATGGAATGATTGCGAATTTGGGACTGGAAAGTCATAGCTATTAGAGAAATGTATCTCAGGGTAGAACTGGCAGCTTAATGTTCCAGGGTATAGATGCTAAAGGAAGGATAGACAGGCGGGGGTACTGGCAAGACAGGAGGGGAGTGGCATTTTTGATTAGGGAAAACATGACGACAGTATTTAGGGATGATATTCCTGGGAGAATGTACAGTGAATTTATTTGGGTGTAACTGAAAAATAAGAAAAGGATGATCGTGTTATTGGGATTGTACTATAGACCCTCCCAATAGTCAGTGGGAAATTGAGAAACAAATTTGTAAGGAGATCTCAGATATCTGGAAGAAATAAGGGTTGTAAAGGTAGGGCATTTTAACTTTCCAAACGTAGACTGGAACTGCCATAGAGTTAAAAGCTTGGATGCAGAAGAATTTGTTAAGTGTGGTCAACAATATTTTCTTACTCACTATGTGGATGAGCTTACTAGACAAGAAGCAATACTTGGCTTCTCTTGCGAAATAAGGCAGGGAAAGTGACTGAGGTGTCAGTGGGAGAGCACTTTGGGGTCAGTGATCATAATTCTATTAGTTCTAAAGTATTGATGGAAAAGGACAGACCAGTTCTAAAAGTTAAAGTTTGAAATTGGAGGAAGGCCAATTTTGACGATATTAGGCAAGAACTTTCAAAAGTTGATTGGGAAAGCTATTCGCAGGTAAAGAGGTAGTTGGAAAGTGGGAGGCCTTCAAAAATGAGGTAACGAGAGTCCAGAGGCAGTATGTTCCTTTAATGTGAAGTCAAAGCTGATAGAAGTCTCCCTGATCTCCCACATCCTGCAAGAGGAGCATGCCACTGCCCTAACTGCCATCGGTCTAGACAGAAAGAATGTAGAGTTGAAGAGCCCATACCTGTACCCCTGCTCAGCCTCCTCACGCTGAAACCACTCGAGCAAAGTTCTCAGCACTTCCAATCGAACACTGGCCCACTCTCTTAATGGCTGCTTCCTTGTACACCCTTACCATGCCCGTTGTCATCCTCACAGAGCCCTTTTCTTTGGTCAGAAGAGGAGCGAGAATGGGAAACACCAATGTAGTGTTTCGGCTTTAACCAGGTTCGCTCTGACCTGGTGTACGGTCATGATGATTGTGGCAATATCTCCCAAAATTCCACTGTGATGACTCTCAGCCACCCTGTGATATATTTCTCTTTTGCCTTTTGAGTTTGCGTTTGTTTTTGGTTTGGTGACCCCAAGGAACAGGGCTGTTTTCGTTTTCCTTTTCCTTTGTACCAATTTTGGATCCCCTTGGAAGAGCCAAGGGGGCTTTTGTTTTAGCCCCAACTGTCCCTGTCTGAGAGGCACTTGACGGGGATTGGTTTTAGGGGAATTTTATTTTTCTTTGAAATGAGCAGAGGTTCTTCCTATGGATTTTAAACCATTGTTGTCCCTGTCCCAGGAGGGGACAGAGGGGATTTATTTAATTATTTGTTTATTTATGGTTTTTAAAAAAAATTTGCTTGAACAGAGAACAACAAACAATACAGCACAGAATCAGGCCCCTTGGCCCTCCAAGCCTGCGCCAACGCATTTTGAGTTTATTTTTATTTTGGCCCCCTGTGGCCGTGGCCTAAGAGACGTTGGTGGGGATGGAATTGCTGTCTCTGTCCTGGGAGTGTCCGATAGGGACCGTATCGGTGGGTCTTGGGATTTTTCTGTTTACAATATTCATTTAAAAGTGTGGAGGGCTGCTTTTCAGACTGGCAGCCTGTGATTAGCGGTGTGCTCTAAGGATTGGTGCTGGATCCTCTTCATTTTGTCATTTTTTTTTTAAAAATGATTTGGATGTGAACATAGGAGACATGGCTAGTAAGTTTGCAAATGACACCAAATTGGCGGTGTAGTTGACAGCATTGAAGGTTACCTCAGATTACAATGGGACCTTGATCAGATGGACTGAGGAGAGGCAGATGGAGTTTAATTTAGATAACTTTGTGTTGCATTTTGGCAAGGTAAATCAGGCCTGGACTTATACACTTAATGGTAAGGTCCTGGGAAGTGTTGCCAACCAAAAGAGACTTTGGAGTGCAGGTTCATGGTTCCTTGAAAGTGGAGCCACAGATAGAAAGGGTAGTGAAGAGGGGATTGGTACACTTGCCTTTATTGCTCAGTGCATTCAGTATAGGAGCAGGGAAGGTCATGTTGTGGCTGTACAAGACATTGGTTAGGCTACTTTTGGAATACTGCATTCAATTCTGGTCTCCCTGCTATAGGAAAGATGTTATGAAAAGGTTTCAGAAAATAATTATAAGGATATTGCCAGGGTTGGAGGGTTTGAGCTCCATGGAGAGGCTGAATAGGCTGGGGCTATTTTCCCCTGGAGCATTGGAGTGGAGGAGGTGACCTTCTCAAAGTGTATAAAATCATGAGGGGTCTGCATAGGGTGAATAGGCAAGGTCTTTTTCCCAACATAGGGGAGCCCAAAACTGGAGGACATAGTTTGAAGGTGAGAGGGGAAAGACTTAAAAGGGACCTAAGGAGCAAATTTTTTATGAAGTGATGTATGGAATGAGCTGCAAGAGGAAGTGGTAGAGGCTGGTACAATTTGATCATTTAAAAGGCATCTAGATGGGTACATGAGAAGGAACGGTTTAGAGGCATAAAGGCCAAGTGCTGACAAATGGGACTAGATTAACTTAGGATATCTAGTTGGCATGGACGGGTTGGACCAAAGGGCCTGTTTCCATGCCGTTATGTCTCAATGACATTAATCTTGCAGGGGTATCCAGAGATACTTGCTGGAATTGGACTAGGAACATAAACAATTGCCAGTGATAGTCTGGCTATGATCAGATAGAGAACAATAAAATCACACAAGGCTACAGCTTGATCAGGAAGGATGAGAAGAGATAGTTTACCTCAGTAACTGCACACAGGATGTTATTTAACAAGAGCCGTTGCAATACCATGACAGGGACTTGATTTCAGTGTTACAAACATGAACCTCTGGAAAAGGACAGGGATTTGGGACAATGAAATATTCAAGATATTTAGTGAGGAAAGGGAGATTGGAGACAGGACAGTATTTTGCTCAGACAGTGGAGTCAAGATTTATTCAGAAGACACCAGATTTGAAGAAGAGATGGACGATACCAAACACTGAAGTGGTAACAATACTGACAAAGATAAGAAATTTGGAGGAATCAGGACTTCCGTGCATATAAAATTGATGGCTCAGGAGGTGAAACTCTTGTACAAGACAAACACTCAAATGAACTGAAAAAACATTTGGGTTGAGGACTCAGGCAAGGGAGATCTTTAGAGGCATTTGGTCTGCAGGACTAGTGGGGAGTTGGGGAGCAAAGCAGCTGGTGGGATTGTCTCAATTTTAATCATGAAGTGGAGGTGCCCCACCTTCATCAGGTGGGGGAGCAGTGCTCCAAAAACTTGTAATTTCAAAAACCTATAACCTGGTTTCATGTGACTTCTGACCTCAATCTTAGTGACAAAGAAGCTCCATGATCTCCACACCTTGATGGACGGAACATGGGGAGAGGGAGAATCTTTTAAAAGGAACTGAACAATGGCTAACGGGGTGGCACAGTGGCTCAGTGGTTAGCACTGCAGCCTTACAGCACCAGAGATCCGGGTTTGATTCCCGACTGTGTGGAGTTTGCACATTCTCCCCGTGTCTGCCTGGGTTTCCTTCGGGTGCTCCGGTTTCCTCCCACAGTCCAAAAATGTGCAGGCTAGGTGGATTGGCTATGCTAAATTGTCCGTAGTGTTCAGGGATGTGAAGATTAGGTGGATTATAGGGGGATTAGTCTGTGTAGGATTGTCAGAGTTGGTGTGGACTTGTTGGGCCGAAGGGCCTGTTTCCACACTGTAGGGATTCTATGAAATTGCATTAGAGATATTAAAAAATACGTAATGTAGTGCGTTTAGCACTGATTTATTTGACTTTTTTTCCAGAATATTCATACTGATAACTGGGCTCAAGTATTCTAACACACGAAACAAACTCTAATGACCATGGTTCAGTCCTGGGTGCGACTAATAGCAAAACTTAATCAGCATTGCTGCTTGTGATGTGTTGGCACCGAAGAAGAATTAATCAATCCTTTTGCACATTTCAAGCAGGTGAATGGTCTCTGGCTGGTGTGACCCCGCTGGTGTACAGCAAGATTGGATGACTGAGCGAATCCCGTCCCACATTCCAAGCAGATGGATGGTTTCTCCCCAGTATGAATTCGCTTGTGTGTAGTGAGGTTGGATGAATGAGCAAATCCCTTCCCACACTCAGAGCAGGTGAACGGTCTCTCCCCAGTGTGAACCCGTAGGTGTACACTGAGGTCAAATGATCGCCTGAACCCAGTCCGGCAGTGAAAGCACATGAATGGCCTCTCATTGGTATGAACACGGCGATGACACTTCAGATTCCCAGGACTCTTAAAACACTTCTCGCAGTCTGAGCATTTAAAAGGTCTGTGGTCAGTGTGAACTCGCTGGTGTTCCAACAGGCTGGATGTCTGAGTGAATCCCTTCCCACACTCATTGCAGGTGAACGGCCTCTCCCCAGTGTGAATTCGCTGGTGTACCGTGAGTTGAGATGATCGCTTGAAGCCAATCCCACAGTGAGAGCATATGAATGGTCTCTCATCAGTGTGAACACGTTGGTGAGACATCAGTTCCCCAGAACTTTGGTAACACTTCTCGCAGACTGAGCATTTAAAAGGCCTCTCCCCAGTGTGAACACGCTGGTGTATCAGCAGGCTGGACGATGTAACAAATCCCTTCCCGCACACAGAGCAGGTGAATGGTCTCTCCCCAGTGTGAACTCGCTGGTGTATCACTAGGCTGGATGATGTAGTGAATCCCTTCCCACACTCAGTGCAGTTGAACGGTCTCTCCCCTGTGTGAACCCGCTGGTGTATCAGCAGACTGTGTAAGTGAGCTAATGCCATCCCACATCGGGAGCAGGTGAACAGCTTCTCCCCAGTGTGGGTGCGCCAGTGAATTTCCAGCTCAGATGGGTAACTGAATCCCTTCCCACACTCAGTACATTTCCATGGCTTCTCCCCATTGAAAGTGCACTGATGCTTTCTCAGTTGGGAAGGGTAATTGAATCCTTTCCCACAGTCTCCACATTTACACAACTTTTTCTCAGTGTGACCACATTTGTGACTCCACAGACCAGACGATTTGCTGAAGCCTTGTTCACATACAGAAAACGTGTACAGTTTCTCCTCACTGTTAGTGGTGCTTTTTACTTCCATGTTCAAATCTGATGAGATTCAGGTTACAATAAATTAGTTCAATCCATCAGAATCTGTGTGATTTCAGTTTTGAAACTCCAAATCCCCGCTTTCCAATGCCCTGTGATATTGGTGCAAAATAGGAAAAAGTAAGAGAGAGCCTACAAAAATCAAAGGCTGGTGCTGAAATTGAGCAGAATGAATCTGCTGGTTGGGGACCAAGTGTGGTGTGTCAAAATTTGCAGATGACACTAAGGTGAGTGGTACAGCAAAGTGTGCAGAAGACACAAAGTCTGCAGAGGGATACAGATATCTAAGTGAGTGGGCAAAGGTCTGGCAGATGGAGTACAATGTTGATAAGTGTGAGTTCATCCATTTTGGCAGGAATAACAGCAAAACAGACTATGTTTTAAATGGTAAAAAATTGCAGCACGCTGCTGTGCAGACGGACTTGAGTGTCCTTGTGCATGAATCGCTTAAAGTAGGATTGCAGGTGCAGCAGGTAATTAAAAAGGCAAATGGAATTTTGTCTGTCATTGCTAGAGGGATGGAGTTTAAAAACAGGGAGGCTATGCTGCAGCTGTATAGGGTCCTGGTGAGGCCACACCTGGAGTACTGTGTGCAATTTTGGTCTCCTTACTTGAGAAGAGATATACTTGCACTGGAGGGGGTGCAGAGGAGATTCACTCGGTTGATTCCAGAGTTGAGAGGGTTGGATTATGAAGAGAGACTGAGTAGACTGGGATTATACTCATTGGAATTCAGAAGAATGAGGGGAGATCTTATAGAAACATAAGATTATGAAGGGAATAGATAAGGTGGAGGCAGGGAGGTTGTTTCCACTAGCAGGTGAAACTAGGACTCGAGGGCATTGCCTCAAAATAAAAGGGAAGCAGATGTAGGACTGAGGTCAGGAGGAACTTCTTCACCCAAAGGGTTGTGAATCTGTGGAATTCCCTGCCCAGTGAAGCGGTTGAAGCTACCTCGGTGAATGTGTTTAAGGCAAGGCTAGATAAATTTTTGAACAGTAAAGGAATTAAGGGTTATGGTGAGTGGGCGGATAAGTGGAGCTGAGTCTCAAAAAGATCAGCCATGATCTTATCAAATGGCAGGGCAGGCTCGAGGGGCCAGATGGCCTACTCCTGCTCCTAGTTCTTATGTTCTTATGCTAAGTGGAGGGCCAGCACTCAAAAAGTGACAATGAAATTTTCTGAATTGTTACTAAAAACCCAACTGGTTCAGAAACGTCCTTCAGGGAAGAGAACTGCCACTCTGTCTGCACAAAATCCTACAGACACACTTTTGGATCAAAAATAGAGAACCAGAGAGAGAGAATAAAAACAGCAGAATTTTCCTCTATTTAAATTGTAGGAAAACTGAAGCTCACTGTAGCAGGGAAGTGAGACAAACTCCACTCTCTTACCACTGAATCCATCCCTCCTCCTGGCAACAGAGTCTGAATCAGACTATTCACGACCGAGATGATAAAATACTTCACCCTAAGATGAACTTCGACCCACTTATCCCGAACATCAAGACTGCCTACTCCCACCTCTAATTAAAATACAAAATACTGCTAAGCTTCAGCAGGTCAGGTAGCGTCTGTGAACAGAAAGAGTAAACGCTATACATCGTGATCAGATTTCATTAGAACCAACGAAAGGTGGAACCGATATTGGTTTTGATTAGCGAACGAGCACTGTAGGGCCTGTGTGATATGGTGGATCCACCTCAAATGACATTCGTTTGAAGGAACGGCGAATTGGTGAATGAAAGGATGTCAAGTAATATCATCAAACTTTGATTTTGCCTCAGCTCAGCTGTTTCTGAAACACTTACTTTTCCTCTCTTAACTCCAGACTCGCAACTCTGATACGGCCCTATCCAGTTCCCCACAGCTCTTAAAATAGTTGAGAACACACAAAACCCTGCGGCCGGTGTTAGTACTCCCACCGTGTTCCCTCATGAATCGACTGAATCTGGCAGATTTCTTTATAAGCTTGACTCGACTTTCCCGTTTGAAAATCCCTCATTTAACATCGTGTAAGAAAAAAAAGTGCAATTATAAAAAGGAAATTCCTCACCGTCAGTCCAGAATAGAAATTCGGAAGGGACAAAAGATGACTCGGTTTGAATTTGCTGTCCTCAAATCTTCCCTTCGGAGACGACAAGGCTGCGAACGCGTCCTGCTGCACCCAATAAAGATGGCGTTGGCAAACTGAGTCTGTCACTGCCTGAGCCCCGCAACCATTTTCCCGTTTGCAGCAAACCCGGACTGGGATTTTCTGAAGTCAAAAGAAAAAAAAAATGTGGAGGTGGAAAAACACAGCAGATCAGACAGCATTCGAGGAACAGAGAAGTCAACGTTTCGGGTGGGAACCCTTCTGCAGGACTGGGGAGGGAAGCCCAGAAATAAATAGTGGGTAGGTGGGATAGAGATAAGTGAATGCAGGAAGGGAGTTATTATGGTCAATGGGAAGGATATTCGGATATAGGGACTATATTGTTTATGAAGCCCCACCCACCAGTCCAAACCAGCTCTATTTCTTTCTTGCTCTCCCCACTTTTTTTTACCAACTATACCTTCTTCTTCATCTCCCACAGGCATCCTTCACTGAATCACTCTGCCTCATCAATAAGACATCGGAATGGGAAAGGCTAAAGCAGCTCGATGGACAAGTTGTCTCCATTTTGAACAATGGGCAGCAAAGCTCCCCTCACTGCATACAGGTATTGCCCCCTACAAACATGGCGGCTGTGCATGCGCCCTGCAGGCCACATGACAGCAGCGAAAGAAGTTTAGAGCCGTTGGCCTGTTTATTGTAAATGGGACACCGGACAATTTTCAATTGGCGCTTTCGGCTGACACAAAAAATTACAAAACTTCCCCACTCAAGCCGTCACGACCTTCCATCAGACTCAGACTCACCCCGTTCGTGGATCGGAGATGACCACCCTGCGGGCCAGTCAGACTGAATACATTTCTGATGAAGGGTCTAGGCCCGAAACGTCAGCCTTACTACTCCTATGATGATGCTTGGCCTGCTGTGTTCATCCAGCTCTGCACTTTGTTGTCACGGATTGGGCACCAGCGTCTTTGCCCTGACCGCCACTACGCATGCGGCCGGAGATTGGCGGCGCCTCCCAGTAAATTGTGAGGGATGGGGCGGGACTGGAAGACCAGGCGGGAGGGTTTGGTCCTCCAAGCGGGATCAGTGGATACGGTGCGTGAATTCTGTCCCACGCAAATGCAGCGAAGTGTTTCGGCGCCGAAACGTTGGCTTCCCTGCTCCCGCTTTTCCAGCCTCACACTCATGGACTCCGCAGATTCACTGCCTTCCGCAGCAAGGATCTCCAGAAGGAGGTATGTGGTTGGAACATGCTCCCAGGGGAGATGGTGGAAGTACATATGACGGCGGTGTTTAAGAGGCATTTGGACAGACATATTAACGGGTGGGGAATAAAGGGATCCGGACTATGTGTAGGCAGATGGGATAAGTTTGGAGTGGCATCATGATCGGTGCACACGTGGTGGGACGAAGAGCCTGCTCCTGTGACTGTAATGTTCTATGTTCTGCTTACATTTACAACCAGGGCAGACCAATGGTGGAAGCTTAGAGCACTTTGTTGGATTCAATAATTCTGGCCTTAGCCCTTCTGTCACATTTAGGGGCAAAAAAGTTAATGTTCTGTTCACTAGTGCCTTTCAATGGTGGGCTCCTTACCCAGCACCCTTGGCAGTTCAATAGCTGCCCACGTTTTTGTGTGTGTGCCCTGCAAGTGGTGCAGCATGGGCAGTGCCATGCCCTATAAGAGGTGTCCTAGGAGCGGTGCTAGAAAAGACAGTGACTAATTGACTGACTATGTGAGAGACACTGCCAGGGAAGATTCGCAAACACCCAAGAGAGCCCACACACACCCTGAGGACTGACGGGCAGGGACTGTTTTGCAACGAACTGACTGCACTTGCTGCGTTTCTCCCTCGAACAAGGAACAAAATGCTCAAGATAGTGGAAATCTGCAACTAAGACATAAAATGCCGGAGAAACCCAGCAGGTTTGGCAGCGTCTGTGAGAAAAGCTTTGCTGCCCATTGTTCAGAATGGAGACAACTTGTCCATCGAGCTGCATTAGCCTTTCCCATTCCGATGTCTTATTGATGAGGCAGAGTGACTCAGTGAAGGGTGCCTGTGGGAGATGAAGAAGGTATAGTTGGTTTAAAATAAAAGTGGAGAGCAAGAAATAAAGGTAGTTTGGACTGGGGGGGTGGGGATTCATAGAGAAAAACAAAGTCAATGTTTCCAATCTGGTACAACTCCTCACTTCCAGTCATGACTATGCAGGAGAGAAATGGAACAGTGTTACCTGGGAGGTTTCATCAACACCTGGTGTAGCTCCCAGATCCAAATTAGAAACTTCTAGTCCTGTGTTTGGTAGCAAACAGGCAAATGGTTGTGGGATTCAGGTCCAGATTAGTGTCACAGTCTTCCCGGAGGAAATGTTCAGTGGGTTGAATGCACAGCATCATGTTTTGTGGGAGTCAGTGCAGAGGGAGCAAGCACTTTTGGAGAGTCAGTGCTGAGTGGAGCAGGGCGTGTTCGCAGCTTTCCTATTTCAGGAGTGTTAAAAGGAGAGAATTTATACAAAGCAAACTCAAACCAAGAGAAATCGTTGTCTCTTGTGAAATTCTGTCCTGGGCTATTAGCAATGGACTTTATAAACTTACAGGACAATGGAAGCGGAGGATTGATAGACCAGAACACACAATAAATATTATATCAAGATCTGAGACAGTCAGTCAGTTCATCAGGATCTGATTATCATCAGCATCTGAAAGTAGAAGGGAACAGCTTTATCTGTTCTGTCTGTGGGAGAAGATATAATGTGACAGTGTGATTGCACCAAGATACACACAGCACATCTGGAGAACTGTGTTCAGTTCTGAGTCACAGATCTTAGGAACAATCTATTGGAGTGAATGTAGCGCAGATTTCCCTGATGTTTAGTTCACAAGATCACACAGAAGAGTCACAATGCGACCACTCAACTCATTGAGTCCAGGGCTAACCCTCTATAGCAATCCAGTGACACTCATTCCCCTCTTGTATACTTATAATCTTTCATGCTATTTTCGTCAATTACTGATTTAATTTCATTTTGAAATCAATCACTATCCATTTTTACTCCCCTCAGAGTTCCAGGGCGTCACCATGTGCTGTGTAAAAATATTTTCATAAGTGTTTGCTATTCAGAGCCTTTAAACTGTCCCTAATCTGTGTACAGTCAGCTAATGGGAAAGATTGTCTTTCTGTAACTAGTTTAGCCATTTCGTAAAACTTGTACCTCTATCAAATCTTCTGTCAAACTCCTTTTACTGAATCCATACTATGAATTTCCTCCGCACGCTGTCATGGAACCTTACACCCTTTAAACTCTGATGACCAGAAGTGGCCATATGATTCGGATTGTGGCCGAATGAGAGCATTATAAATGTTCAACCTTACTTGCCTCCTTTTGATCTCAATACTGATATTTATGAACTTTGATATCCAATTTGCTTTGGTGACCAATAAATATACCCCACTACCTTAAAAGTTGGACATTCTTTAGTATTGTACCATTAGTTTTTTTAATTCACAGGACGAGGGTGTTGCTGCCTGGGCCAGCATTTATTGTCCATCCCCAACAAGGCACTTAAGAATCAGCAACATTGTTAGGGATGGGTAAGAAATGCTGGCCAGCCAGCGACGCCCACATCCCACAAATGAATTTTAAAAAGTCTAGAGTCACATGTAGGCCAGGCTGGAGAAGGATAGCAGTTTCCTTCACTAAAGAACATTAGTGAACTAGATGGATTTTTCTGACAATCAGCAATTTTTATTGAATTCAAATTCTGCCATCTGCCCTGGTGGAATTTGAACCCAGGTACCCAGAACATTACCTGGGTCTCTGGATTAAATGTCCAGCAAAATACCATTAAGGCATCAGCTCCCTACTATTACTTGTTCCTATCTCTAAGCATCACCTTAATATGAGGGAGGTCTTTGTTAGAATTTGAAGACTAAGGTGTGATTTTGTTCAAAGTTTTGTGAAAGTGATTGCTAACTGATAGGGCAGCTAGACAGAACAATTTCCACTCTTGGGAAATCAAGGATGAGCAGGCACAGTCTAAACATTGCATAGGTTACAGCACCTTTTCAAGGCAGGTGTTCCAGATCCTGACAACTCTTTCATGGTGCAGAAATTGCTGAACCTCATGTTGAATTTGGAAGGTTAGAAAGTGCCAAACTGAAAGATGAGCTGTTCTTGGTCCTTGAAGTTCCATTGCACTTAATTGGAGCAGTGCAGGAGTCTGAGTACGGAGTGGGGCTGGGTTGAAAATTAAAATGACAAATGATCACAAATTTAGGGTCCTGCTTGCAGACTGAATCAATATTGTTTTGTGGTATTATTCACCAAACCGTGTTTGCTGTTCCCATTGTGAGCAGTGAGCTAGTAATTTAAAATGCATGAAATACAAATGAATCATTTTTATTTTCATCTTTCAAAAATGTGAGGACAACCTGAAGAAAGATACTTCACTTGCAGGATCGGTTATAAAGTGCAGAAAGCTGATTGTCAAAATACTCAATCCAATCCCAGTTATAGGCTAAAATCAAACCCAACGTGGTTCAGTCCTGAATAAAAACCAAAAGAACTATGGATGCTGTAAGTCAGGAACAAAAACAGAAGTTGCTGGAAAAGCTCAGCAGGTCTGGCAGCGTCTGTGAAGAAAAAAATCAGCGTTAACGTTTCGGGTCCAGTGACCCTTCCTCAGAATTGGTTCGACAATCGGCAATGGTTTCATGATCATCATCGAACTGGTCCTGAGGGAGGGTCACTGGACCCGAAACGTTAACGCTGATTTTTCTTTTCTTTACAGATGCTGCCAGACCTGCTAAGCTTTTCCAGCAACTTCTGTTCATGGTTCAGTCTTGAATTCGATTAACAGCAAAATTCAACTCCTGCAGCAACTTGTAATCTCACTGTGTTGAATGGCCTACTCCTGCTCCTGTCTTCTATGTTGCTATGTTTCACTGGTTTCTTAGCAGGTTGAACGATAGATTAAATGCCTTCTGACCCACGGAGCAGGGAAAATCATTCCTCTCCAGCCTGAACCTGCTGCTGTGACTCCTGGAAATGATTTTCCCATGCACCAGCTTCTCTTTTTGGTTGGTGAGTTTGGAATATTCTGTCAATATTCTGGTCCAATTGCAAAGAGATGAAGCCTGTCTCTTTTCCACTGCTCCGTCTTCCTCCCATAGAGAACAGAGCCTTATTTCGGTTCAGACCAGGTGGAAGATTCCCTTCTCTGAAGAACAAGACTGAATCAATTTTTTATTTTGAATACAATTCAGCAGCTTTCATACTAACACTGTTCTCTTGCCAGCCCCACAAATTACCAGATTTATTTTCATCTCCTGCCTTTGTTTTTGAGTGGTCGGTCACATTTTCTTGCTTCTACTTTAAGTTAATTTTACAAGAAGTATTTGAAGTTTAGGAACTCGTACTGCATGTCACTTCAGATTTTGACAGTCGTAGAATCATATTGTAGAATCCCTACAGTGTGGAAACAGGCTGTTCGGCCCAACAAGCCCACACCGACCCTCAGAGCATCCCACCCAGACCCACCCCTATAACCCACCTAATCTTGTCTATCCCCGAACACTAAGGGCAATTTAGCATGGCCAAGCCACCTAGCCTGCACATCTTTGGACTGTGGGAAGAAACCGGAGCACCCAGAGGAAACCCACGCAGGCACAGGGAGAATGTGCAAACTCCACGCAGACAGTTGCCCGAGGCTGGAATCAAACCTGGGTCCCTGGCGCTATGAGGCAGCAGCGCTAACCACTGAGCCTTAGTGATGCTCAATTCATCAGGAAAGGAATGTCATCAGACTTTGATCATGGAAGCAAACATCAGCGTTCACACTGGGAAACAGTGGGAATATGGGAATTTTGGGAAGGGATTCAAATGTTCATCATAGCTGGAAATTCACTGGCACAGTCACACCAGGAAGAGGCTGTTCATTTGTTCCAAATGTGGAAAGAAATATACTTGCTCAACAAATCTGCTGTCACACTGGTGAGTTTACCGTTCACCTGTCCTGAATGTGGGAAGAGATTCACCAGGACATCCTACCTGCTCACGCACCAGCAAGTTCACACTGGGGAGTGCCATTCACCTAGTTGCTCAACTACTCTGCTGGCATAGCAGCGAGTTCATATTGCAGAGACTCCCAAATGTTTATATTGTGGGAAGTGCTTTAAAAGTTCTGAAGAGAATATGTCTTATTAAGATAGTGTGTCATTAGTATGACTATCAG